ATCTTTCGATCAACTCGTCACTGAACAGTTCGCGAAAGAGGGAGGCATCGACAACTGGTGGTTGACATATGCACTCGGGCTACGTCTGAGTGCTTGTGCCTCGTAATGGATACGAGAACGGGGTTTTATCGTTGAATTTTGACAAGGTTTTCAAGGGAGCAGAATGGCAGTGATATTCATGAGGAGCATTTTCACTGGGAGTTTGTTTAGCCAGAAGCGCCTTCGCGGCTGCATCTACACACAACTTGGTAGGCTGATCAGCAATGCAAGCTGTTTGTTGAGTGGGCTTTGTTTTGTGGAATTTCTTTACTTCGTCGAATGCATTCTTGGACTCGAGCTTCTGGACTTTTTCTTCATTGTTCCGGTCAGCTTGCGGCAGAAGTGCAGTCCAAATACTACAGCGCGTAGTTCTGCTGCTTGCCAGAAAGCACTGTGTTGCACGGGTCCATATCTTAGTGCTGTCGCCCTTCGTCGCGCTGAAACAGATCGGCCCTCGTTTTGCTGGTCAAAGGCAAACTCTTCGTCAGTGACGCTTTTCCTGATTTTTAGTTTTTTTTTTTTTTTAGTTTCTGATTTTTTTTTAGCTTCTTTTGTTTAATAAATGGTTTTCTGAAAAATGTATGAAACTTTCGGAAGACGTCGGAAAGGCGGAAACGCTGCCGAACGAGAGCGCCGTTGCAAAATCGTCGATAAATTTCGCCGAGAGACGGGACGGAGGCTCGGCTCGGCTCGGCAGAAATCGTCAATTCGTGCTGCGCGTGCATCCTCGGATTTTCTTATCATTCTGTGTAGTATGATCGCTGTTTTGCGGGAAATAAATGCATGCAGAAAAATGTTCGTTTTTTGTGCTGCTTACTTGGCAGATTTGGTAGTAAAACGTTTATTTTCACGTCTTTACGTTTCTGTTAGATTCATAATTGTGAGCGTCGATGCCTGTGCATGTGCGTGTGTGTGTGTGCGTGTGTGTGTGTGTTTGTGTTTGTGTGTGTGTGTGTGTGTGTGTATGAATGTATGTATGTATATATACGAGCGTACACAGGTACCGTTGGGGGTTAATGTATTTGTAACTGTATATGTATCGGTTAGTGCTTAAAATGTTTCTCTCCGCTTAATTCCACTTCGGCACTAAGTTAGTTAGCAAGCTGAAAACCTGGATCTTCACT